AATATTAATTGAATCTATCAAATCCACTAATATACATTTATATAAAAAATCGATCTTATACTTTAGAAAATTTAAAGAAATAAAAATATTAATGAAATTATTATTTTGTTAATTAAAAATTATGAATTTACATATGATATGTATCTTCAAAGCTTTAACAGATTTGATATATGTTAAGTTAAGATTATATATTTTTATAATTTATTAATTGATATTTTCTTTTACTCTTTATAATAACATATTTATTGTTTACAAAAATAAAAATATTATTTCCCAAACATTTGAGAATTAATTTTTAGTTGACCTTTTTGTTAATGTTAAAAATTAAAGATAGTAAAATATAAAAATAATTTATATAATAATTCAAATATAATAGTTGCATATGTTTTTTTTTTTTTGCATTAGACTTTAATAGAAAATTAATTAATAATGGCGTAGTGCATGYATTAATTTATAAAAATCTATATAATATGTGTCTTGAACTCTTGATTAATGTATTATCAATAAAGTTGTATGATATCTATGAGATGAGCTATAAAAATGATTACCCCTAACAGATGGTGAGTTATAGGGGCCACCAATATACATATGCATATGTAGGCAAAGAATGGTCTGCCAACTACCATTTCCGTTATTTTATTTTATTTTATTTTTTACGAACACAAACACTTTCAGACCACTTAAACTTCCTTTGACGTATTTGAAAATTACCATTAACAACCATGGCATTTTTGTTCTGAAATTATTCAATATTCCCTTATCAGCTGATGTGGCATTATGATGACCTTCTTTTAGTAACCCTCATAACATATGATAAAAACAGTTTTTTTTTTCTTGGATCATTTACTAAAACACCTCTTATAGTTTTGCATTTTTATTAAAACCAATTCTATGGTTTATATTACTAAAACTCCCCTTCTATCAAGGGCATGGGTCTATGGTATTTTATTGGATTTTTAGCAGATAAGGGCAACTTTTTGCCTTGAATATCAATAAAAGATAATATTTTTATAAAATAACAAAAATATGATAGCTTTTTTGAAAAATATAAAGGCAATGATACTGTTCATTGTCTTCCTCTGCCCTTTCTCTAGTGATGGAGGCCGGAATTCCCTTTCTATACTGGTGAAGGAAAATCGAAACAAAAACACGGTTGTCTCCAATGTGCCACGAACATGAACACAAAGATGAAAACCGAAAGACGAATACAGCGCCTTGAAACCCTTACTAAACCCTTAGAGTGGTTCATGATGAATACAGCGGTTTCAAGGAGGTCCTTGCTGCTGCTCCAGTTTTGCTGACAAGGTTCAGGATGAATACAGCGGTTCTGCTGCTCCAGGGTTTAGTAAGGGTTTGAAGCTCAAACGGGTAAGATCGTTTAAGTAGTCGAGGGTGCTGTGCATTAATGAGGAACACATGTGATTACATTGTTTTGGACGGCTCTGCAGTTGACTCCAATTCAGTTGTGAGGTTCAGAATGAATACAAACGCAGAGGAAGACAATGAACAGTATCATTGCCCTTCCTTGATATTTTTCAAAAAAAATTATCTTATTTTTATTATTTTATAAAAATATTATCTTTTATTGATATTCGGGGCAAAAAGTTGCCCCTATCTGCAAGAAACCCTATTTTATTCCAGAAATACTCTTAACACTTCATATTGAACTTTTAAAATTAATCAATATTTGATTTTCAGATTTACCATACAATGTTTAGTTTTAGAAAATGAAGAGAGAAAGGTGCACATCCCATATAGTTTGCAACATTCCTTTCTTCTTTAAATTGAGGATAAAATTTGATTGGAAAGAATTGTTGCCCATGTTTTATTAGGGGCAAGAATAACATTTTCAATTATATTTTTTGTAGATTAAATTGATCCTAACAGACATTAATGTCAAAACTGTCATTTTCTATTAAATAAATTATGAACTATACAGGATGTTTTTGTAAAATACAAATTATAAGGTGAGTTTTAATAAATTCATTAAACTACAGGGGTTGTTTTAGTAAGTTTTTTTTAATTTTTATTTAGGGCTTCAACCTGAGGTGGGCACCTGGTGGATGTTTCTCCAAGTTCAGTCCATGTTGGGTTTGGGCCAAGCCTATGACAAGCCCAAACCCAACCCAACAACTGAGGTCAGATTGGTTTCGAGCCACTTCCGGGCCAGCTTAAGGTACCTATTTCTAGCTGGTTTGGGTGATATTTGGACAGACCCATTCTAAATTGCAGGCCATTTAGATCCAAGAATACTTAAGAGGCTTCATATTAAGAACAAAAGGTTGCTCTTAGGGAGCCCACAGGCTCAGCCTGGTTAAGTGCAGACTGCACCTGTGAAGGCCTTATAATCTCATGTTGATCTAACCCTATTCATGACGCATTCAACAATACAGCCCTAATGCACCAGATCCCATTAAAATGAATTATACAGTGCAAGGTGGTAGAGAGGATTTAGGTTTAGTCGTTTAGGCTGTGTTTGGTTGCAGTGCAATTTTATTTGTACTAGTATAAATTTATAAAAGGGTAAATAAAAAAAAAATGCAAATTCTGGTTTAATTTTATTTTGGGTTTTACTTTATTCTGCTTTATATCTTAGTTTACTTTGTACTACAATCAAATAAAATAAACTAAAATTCGATACAAAAATAAATCAGAGTTTACACTCAAATCGTTTGTACTGCCATAATTTTGCATCAGTACAAATTTATTTGCATTGAAACCAAACAGACTTGGAGTGAAATGGAGCCCGCAAAAGTGTCTTTGTTGCAGAGTGTCATATCTTTAGGCTCTTATCACGTTGAATGCAGATGCAGTGCACTACAGTACAGTTTAGCTGCTGTCGGTGGTGGTACCGGTGCTCTCAATGACAATTGACAACATCACTGTAGATCAGATGTGCGGATATTTTTTTGACTCATGCTCGCTTTAGCCTTTAAGTCTACCAAACCAGCAGGAAGCAATACAATGACCTTACCTATAAGGCTGTCGAAGCTTCAGAGTTCAGATTTCAGACCATTATTACCACGGCCATGAGTTTTTTAAATGGGTCTTGCCGCGGGCGGCCCGAATTTTGCAATGATCTGGGCTTGGGGTTTCAGGTTTACGGACCAGTATAGTACGACCTGTAGGCCCGTAGTTATATAGGTTTGTTTTTATAAAAATACCCCCTCAACAGCTATAAACAGTTATATAGGGAGGTATTTATGTATTTTGGTTTTGGGGAGAAAAAATGACACAAATGCCCCCAACAACTATATAATAGTTGGTTTGGGGGCATTTTGAGTAAAGTGATAAATTACTTTACAATGACCAAAATATCCGTCTTAATAACTAAAAAATGATTAGTTTTAGGGTACTTTAGGTAATTGAATTATTTTCAATTCTTATAAATAGCCCTTATCCTCCACCATTCTCATCACACTAATTYAGCGATTCCTATAAATAGCCCTATCCTCCACCATTTTCAATTTCTACAATGGTTAAAGTCAAAAATCAAGAACAATAGGAGAAAACGATGAAGCCAATATTTTTTGTATACTCAATAGTTGTATAGCAATTTTTTTTTCAAATTATTGTAAATTTTATTTAATTTATTTGATCATTTGAATAATGTAACTTTTTATTTTCAATTTTTTATATTTAGTAATTTATTCAATTTTCCAAATTTCATATTTCATTTATCAAACCATTGTATGCTTTGTATCATTCTAATTTAAATGAAATAKAATTCCTATTTTTCTTCCAATTTTTTATTCACTTTATCTCTTTGACTTCTTATTTAGTTAAGTATTTTTTCATTTCTTCATTAGATTTCTCATTTTTTCAAATAGTTACCAAAGAAAAGTTAAATATTTTAGTTTTACTTAGCAAAGAAATAAAAAAAATTAAAAATGTCAAAAAAAACAAAAAAAAAAACCAGTCTTGCTTGGTTCAGCCCACGCCCAAGGCCCAGCCTTTGCCCAGCCCAAAACGGCCTAGGCCCATGGCACGGGCTTGGGCCGTGGACTGTGCTGGGATGACCCCCTAAATTATCCCTAGAGAGGGTGGCATAGTCTAGGATGGCTTGCACTTTACACGGGCCGCAGGCGGGGCCCAACATGACCCGTTTTAGACCTCTGTACTGCACTTCCTCTTCTTCTTCTTCTTCCTCTCTCTCTCTCTCTCTGTTTGGGCTTAAAAAATGACTTTCACCAGTTGATCAAATTCATGGCGGCTACAAGTAGGGGTGTTATTATATGAATCAGACTATCAAATTGCACTGAACTAATCTCAAATTGGTGATTTAATCTGATCTGGCCATTAAAATGGTTTGGTTTGTTATGAAAATTTTTCGGATCATAATTTTTTATTGATTTTTATGAATTTTAGAAACAAGATGAAACCATAATAGAACGGTTTGATCTGATTTGGTTTTTTATATTAAAAGGAAACTTATGGAATATTTTTGTAAGGTCGACACCGAACATAGGAATATTTTGTAGGGCCACTATATTATTGATATTGTTTTGGGGTTTATGGCTTCTATCGATCCGTCACAGTGATCTATATTCCTGATCTTTGCGAGATCACAGGGTCCCACAGGTGATTCACATGCACATCTCAGCATGTATTGAGAATCTTTCGTACTTGCCATTAGGAGATGTTCCGAATAAATAGTTGGGATGTGCTGTGGAGAGCAGATCTTTGGTGTTCGATGCAGTTGTAGCAGATACCAGTTTGACAAACTTGTAGTTGTAGTATTGGAATTCTCTGTCCCGACTGCTGACTGTGCTTATCTAGCGCCAGCTCGGAGTACAGGGTTTTCTCTATTTGTTCTGAGACCGGATCTGTTCATAACAAAAAGTTGTTCCAACACCTTCCAATATGATCTGTATCCGTATATTGCAGACATGGTGGATCCGTGATGTGTGTGGACACAGATCATGTTGGTACCGTATTGGTACAATTTTTGTTATGAACAGATCCCACTCACTTTGTTCTTAGTTCTTACTTCTAACCTGAGAGGATATAGGATATTAGGATATTCCTTCCCTGTTTAGTATATCCTCTTCTCTGCTCCAACAACCAGCATATTCTCTCTGAGGGAAGTGGTTTAAATTTCCAAGGTGAATGCTTTAGAGAGAAAGCAAGAGATAACACGTAATGGGCCTGATCGAATTCGCATTGGATTTGAATTCATAACATCCTTAGATATCTTCTTAGCTGGTAATCTTTGCTTCTCTTCTCTGCTATTTTTTTATTATTATTTTTACATTTTGGGTCTGCATATTTTTTTTCCTCTGGGTGATTTAAATTTGGTCATAATCACTGTTAACATTTGAATGGTATGCGGCTTTGATGACAATTCATTCTTCTGTCCAACTCATGGATTAGGCGTATTCTCTTTGCTTCTACAGACATATATAATCTCCATTTTATCCTTTTTTGGGTACTTTTACTCCTTAGCTTTTACTTATACAGTCATTGTAGTTCTAACCTCCATTTGCTTAGAATATTTTGTTTTTCCCTAGAAGATTGTAAATCACCATCTCTGAGTCACTTTTCAATTCATAAAATCTGGCCGCTGATTTCTGTGTATAACAATACTGCTTCCTGCTTCTATTTCTAGTGTCATTTCCTTTTTGCTTCAGTAAAGAGGAATTCACACTGCTTCCGTTTTATAAGAATGTTGAGCCAAAATAAAACTCCAGAGCATAGTCTGTTCAGACCACCCCTTCCAAGACCCTGGATAGCCAGAACCATCTTTGAGTAATGACATTAAGAGGGGGAGCTCAAATGGCTTCAATCTTATGAAAACGTCAAGCTAATGGTAACTAAATGGTGTAATATCAGCTTTAGATGAGAAATTAAGGTCAAACGAGCCTATTGTAGCTATTGCATTGGCTGTTTGGAACCCAAAACTATGCCAGTGCAGCAGACATGCACGGGAATATTAGAAATGATAGAATCAGAAATTAACTTGTTCATAAGAACCTAGGAGTAATTCCAATACGTGATAAAATAAAGGAAAGTAGACTCAGATGATTCGGTCATGTATAGAGAGAAGACCACATAGAGTCTCAGTAAGAATAAGTGATTTGTTACAAGAAGGGCTTAGAAGAGGTAAGGGAAGACCGAAAAGGATAAGGATTGAAACCAGTAAGAAATGATTTCAGGGCCCATAATTTAACAATGGATATGACATCGAACAGAGTGGAATGGTGGAACAGGATTCATGCAGCCAACATAAATAGGTTGCACAAGGCTTAGTTGTGTTGAAGAAATGTAGAGTGGGAGGTTGACTGTCATTGGTGTATATGTCCTCTGACCCACAATTTTCAATTCAAGGAGGTGTATTTTAATGGTCCATCCTATCAAAACTGGATTGGATGATCTTGAGAGCTGAAATCTTTGTTGTTAAATCTATTGAATGGAATTTTCCAGTGGTTTTTTAGTTATATATTTGTTGGATGATTAGGATTCTATAAATAATATAAATTTGGGACTATAGTCTATCTAAAAGATGCTCCATGTATGCCTATCCTGTTCCATGTATAAGCCACTTGGCATTTTGGTGTTCATACATAAAATGCAAGCCTCAGTCATACCTCTTCTATTTTTCATGTTAAAAACCCTGTTTCTACTGTTAAATTTTGGGGCTTGACTACTGCTGCTACATTTTTCATATTATTGCCACCAATTGRGGTTTGTTAAAAGGATTGTCTAAATGCCAACATATACTAATTTTTTCTTAAAAATAACTGCATTGAAATCTGTGGTTTTTTCTTTTTAAGATAGGTTTTATATCAAGCACCAGCAGAAATATCAAACACCAACATATATTAAATTTTTCATTCTTTTTTTTTTTAACAATTGCTAGGCAAGCTTGGTGGTGGGGTGGGATGGATAAAAGTGGAATTTAATCCCAGGTCAGTTGGAACTATCATGGCATGGCAATAAGATTTTCTGACGACTTATGTAATCCTATTTTTTTTCTCAGTAAATCATTAGTCATTACTCTCTGTTTGGTTAACTTGGTTTCAATTCTCTTTCTTGTGCTGTTTGGAGCCTTGATAGGAGGCCTATCAGAGTTTTTGCTTATTTATTGCTAGGAAAATTGGCTACGTAGACTGGGTGGCCCGTCCACCAATCCCAACCAAGGAAGCCTTTGATCCCAGATCTCTCTCCACTGCAGCCAGCAAGAGGCTATCAACAAGCCAGCTGGGACCTATTAGGGTTAAATGTAGCAAGGACCATTTACTTGGGAAAAAAATCTTATTTGGTGTCATGTACAATTGCATATTTCCCCCTCTAGTTAGTTTCATTTCTTATTTCTGTTTTGGTTTGGGGGCAAGAAATTTTCTTTCTGCAGGCATGCTTGATGCTTCCCATTCAATGCTTTATGCATGTTTTCTTTTTTATACATGATGAAGTGGACAAATAACCACGTGAAATTTGATATGAAATTTCTCTTTCAAAAAAAAAAAAGATATGAAATTTTTGTTCAATCAAATAACTTACCATAACCATGAAAACTTTATTTAGTAACTTGGAATCAACTTTGTAAGCGGTATTTGAGTTTCAATTTCAGAATCAGGTCAGAGAAAACTCACTTTTCTTGTAAATGAGTTTGATAGTTCAGCATGGTCCTAACTAGAAACCAGATAGCAATCATCTAGACTTCAATGTTTCATTGCATAGATTGAGATGTATATGAGTATATCTTCTAAGTATGACTTATTGACTTGTAGGCTATAGAGAAGATTCAAGAAAAAATTGAAATCTGATCATTAAATACTGGTATATATCAAATTATTTACATTAATCTTTTTTTACAAAGCAGTTCATGAGTAAATGTTTCTCAATGACATTTTCATCTAAGGAGAAATATACACATTGACATAATCAAATCCACCTCAACAAAAGAACGTTATAATGGAAACAAATCCTGCACAAATAGAATTTCATCCCAGCTATCCATCTGCATGGAAATAATTACATAGAACACTAGCCTACATAAGCACACTTGATTACTTTTTCCTTGAGCAAATTTTAGAAGCCTTTCCAGGTGGCAAGAATCTCATGGAAGATCTCAGCTATGAGGTCCCTATCGGCACATTGTAGAAAGGCATTAAAATCATCTCGAATGTCAAATACCTTACCAAATTTCACGAGATACCTCATGCAACTGCTCTTTAGCCTTGGCAATTGATAGAGAGAAGCATTCTGTAGTCTCTCAAGTACGTTCTTAGTGTCAATGTCTTCTAGAAGGCTCTCATGACATGCTTCTTTCAGGTCAGAGATGTCATACTTATCAGCTGCACGGAGAAGTGCAAGCCGGTGGGTCAGAAACTCATCCTGTTGGATGTTGCCATAGATGTAGTTCAGGAAAGCCTGGCAAGCTTCAATTGACATGTCTGTGATGTCTATAGTTGATAATTCCTTCTCTTTGAGGTCATGTGAGAACATACTCCGGAAGACAGGTGATCTTGTAGCTAGCACAGCACGGTGGGCTACAATGCTCCCATTGGAGGCATTGATTGTAATGTCCGTGTGGATACTTTCAGACAACATTCGACTGAGGCAGGCAAGGGCTGTTGCATTGGACCGTCTCCGAGTGGATTCTTCAGCCCAAATGGAGCAAGGTTCACCGCCCTGTATATTACATGACAAATCACAACTGAGGGAGGAGTCAAGGGAACACGATAATACAGGCAAGTAACAAAGCTTTCCTGGACTGAAAATCTTAGCTAAATGAGTAGCCTGTAGTCTTAAATGGCGTCAGAATGTCTCTAATTTCTCATAGCCATAATGTGCAACACATACACAGAATGCAATTCCATTTAACTTTCCTATAAAGAAAATCTTTTGGGACAAGACTTGGATGGACAGCAATCATCTGAACTATCAGCATTAATTTAGTAAAGGTGCCATGAGATGTTCAGGTTATCTGCAAGGCTGATACTTCAGATGATTATAGTCCTCCTCTGATGTTGCAAACTTGCAATTGTAAGACCAGGAGTTTGAAAGTTCATCCTGAATAAAAGTTAAGGGCATTTATTTATTTGTTACAGAAATCAACCTTCTATCTGTTAGTATTTTTCTTTTGTAGAACAGAATTGAACTGGGAGAGAGAGAGAGAGAGAGAGAGGTAACACTTAAGGGAAAAGATGGCAGAGAGAGAATCATACGTTTGGCGATGAGATCTTCAAATCAAGGAACTCGACGTCAATAATGCACTTCCCGGTTAACTGAGTATCGATCACCCAAACAAAATCGTCGTTACTCTTTATCTGTTTGTTTGTTATTCCTGCAATCTCAAGTAGCATAAAATAAGTTCACGAAGAAAGCAAGAAGCTGTTCTTTTGCCATGGATACGCTGTTTTAGAAAAAAAGGGCACTTAACTAATTAGGCTCAAGTAAAAAAAAAATAAATAAATATTGTGCACTTACCCGGATGAACCAGTGGCTTTCGATCTCCCAAAGAACATACGACTCGAATGATGAAAGATGCAATTGGGGGGTTGTCTCTCGTTAGATTTGATATTTCTGGGTATAGTTTAATGGACAATACCCGATTCTTCTCTACCGATAAATGCCTTCAAGACCAGAAAATTTTGAAGAAAAAAAAAACATAAGGATTAATTCTTCTAATTCCATCTTTCTAAGAAAAAAAATGTTACAAAGACAAGCACGGAGAGTGGGAGAGAGAGCACAAAAAAAGGTCATTTCATTTTTTAACTTTGTATACAGAATCGAATGGATTGAGCTGATAAGAAATAATTGGAATTTTCTATCTTTTAAAGATAAAGAAATGATCATTCGAGATGTTTCTTGAAATTGGGGAAAGGCAAGAATTGATTGAATGTCTCACCAATTCCAGTTGCCCATCTTGAAAGGATCGGATTTCCGGTAGGTGCAGGAAGCCAAGCTGTCGATTCTCCATTGGGCGAGACGGGACGTGGTATCGACTCTGTAAGCTGAGGAATCGGTCATCCTAGTGAAGGGGAGAGCAGCAGTGATCTCATGGATGCAGTCGAATATGCTGTCGAAGAATTCGCCAGGCTTTCCCAGGTTGACTACCAGAGAAACCACTCCTCGTAAACATGGAAGAAGAGGCAGCACCAAACTTATCTCTGCTGCACTCACTCTGACCACTATCAACCACTATCAATCTCCTACCCAACCCCAAGATATTAAACAAACTTGGGGTTTGCCCTGTGAAAGTTTCGGACACGCAAAGATTTTGAACTTGCTTTACGCGATTGAAGGCGAGAATTGCAGAGACAGAGAGAGAGAGAGAGGTATTGTTTTCGCAGACTTATACTGCACTTCAAGAGGGGTTTTTATTTGAGTGGAACATCTTTGTTCTTTTCTTACCGATAATAATTAACATTTGTTTTTATAAGTAAAAGAACATTATTATTTATTAAGGTCGCGTTTGGTTGTAATGTAATTTTATTTCTATTAATATAAATGCATGGAATTACAAATAAAAATAATGTAAATTTTGGTTTAATTTTGTTTTGGATTTTACTTTGGTGGTGTATAGAACTATTGCTCTTTTATTTACTTTTAACACATATGGTGTTTTGTTAGTCATTTTCTTTAAAAAAAACAGTAAAAAAAAA